ATCCTTCTTCTTTGTCTCTGCCTCCTTCTCCTTCTTCTTTGTCTCTGCTTCCTTTTCCTTCTTTGTCTCTGCCACCTTCTGCTTCTTCGTCTCTGCATCTGATTCCATCGGCTTTTCTTTCTTTGTCTTTTTCTCTGCTTTACTTAATTTAGTCTGCTCCTTCGCTGCTTCCTCTGCCTCTGCGTCCTTCTTCTTTTGACTTGCAGACTTGCTGTTTTCATCCTCTTTCACCCTTTGGATCTTCGAAGCCTTGTCATCATCACCATGCTTTCTCTTCTTGTGTTTTCCCTCACTTTTGCTTTCATCATTGCTTTTCACCTTCGAAGAGGTTGCTGCTACTGTCCAGTCGGTCAACTTCCGCTGTTTCATTCTTGAGCGAATTCAACGCAACTCTTTCTTACGCAATAGGTTGGGAGGGGTTGGGAATCGGGGACCTTGTGATGTCCACCCGCGAATGTTGTCTCTATGAAATTCTGGTCTCACCCGCAACCCTGCCTCTGTTGTGTCCTCCTTCTTCCTGCCAACCTCCTTCTTCCCCCCCTTCAGAATCGATGGAGATGGAACCTTCGCAATCGTAACTGCTCCTGTTGTCTTGTTCTTCTTCATCTTGGGACCTTCACTGCTGGACGGCACTTCCTCCAACTCCTCCTCACTGGTTTCTTCACTCTTTGCGTCATCCTTTGGAACCTGCGGGAAAGTGATCGAGATACCAATACAGACTACCAAGAAAGGTCGCATCAAAAAATTGCCTTTTAGGGTCTGTTGGCTCATGCTGGTATCTAAAAGAAGTCCGAAGTCTACAAAGCCATATAGACGGTAAGAACCCTTACCGTCTATATCGTTGTTGACAAAAACCATAGATATCTCTCCAGAATCTCTCCAGATTATAAAAGTTATTATATAGTTGTCCATTGTCCAGCAAACGGCTGGTTGTATAGGGTATGGTCGCGCCTTCAACTTCTCATAGATGCGCTTTGCCTCCTCTTTGCTCATGGGCTGAGCCTTCGCTTTGGAACCACTGGGTTTGGCTTTGCCTGCCAGGTTTTCAGCCTCAATCGCGACCTCTGTTGGGCTGCCGAAGCTAATCTTTCTTTTCACTTTCTCACCTGAACCATCACTACCCGACCTGACTCGCGGTGGCGGTGTGCAGAAGGTTTTCAAAGTCTTTCCATCAGGACTCTTACCTCTCTTGTTCTTTACCACCTTACCTCCCTCGACTGTAGATTTGGCTCTCACTCGACAAGGCGGCGCTTCCGACATGGTTCAAAGACTTACCGAGTAGCTGTCTGACCTTTGGTGCAGCAAAATGCCACGGCTGCAAGCAGAAAAACTGTGTATGAAACCTGTGTGGTCTTTACAGAAAGCAAATGCCACTGGAAAACTGAAATTTCTTGCGCAAAAGGTGAATCTGAATATGAATGGCCATTGTAGGGGCTGGTCTTTTGTTGCCGGTGTCAGAGATAGCTCAATTCCGGCATCACTTTCCTTCCCAAAAGCCGTCAAGCCCGGGCAATATCTAGGCGATTTGGACAAGATTTGCGAGAGGCCAAAAACAATAAATTTGATTGGTTTTTATCGGTTTTTTTTAATATCACTTTTGGGGATCTCATGTTTTTTGAAAAAACATACCGGGTGTACTTCAAACCAAGTAAAGAGTCTTTAGATTCTGGATACTGCCCGAGCCTAGCGCTTATCTAATTGGGGAATCTGCCATGCGCCAATAAAGAGCAGCGCTGGCAAGCTAATTAATAGCAATGATAGCATCGCGGATCTTGCAGTGCTTGTCCCAGCCATAGTCCTGCGCAGAGTTTGTCAGGACTTGATCTAGAAACCGATAAATTTGATAAGGAAACCGATAAATTTGATTCCGGCAACCGATAAATTTGATCACATTTGATCAGGAAGCCGATAAATTTGATTACTTTTCATCCGGAAACCGATAAATTTGATCACATTTGGTCGTGAATCGATAAGTTTGATCACTCTTGGTCATATGAAGCCCCATGAACCGATACATTTAATCACTTTACATGAAGGAACCGAGAACCAGATAAACCACCCGATGAGCACTGGCGATTTTCCATCTCAGGTAGTCCTTGAGAGCTGGCATGGCGCGATTTAAGCGCATCAGCTTCTTCCTTGGATTGGAGACATTGCGGCAAAAGTGGCATTGGTTGGGAGTCCACGAGTTTAGTGTTGAGTATACAGTATATTACATATAATAGTTAATTATAGTTATATGATCCCAACATGTCTTGCAATTCGCTGGCATGATATATCGAGCCCCGGTATAAATTTGACGAGGCGCATGCGCTCGGAAACTTGCGTCTGGATATGAGCCTGCGAAAGTAGGTTGGCACACCTATAAGGGATTAGTGAGTCCTCGGGCTACGATGTGAGATCCAATGAGCAGGGCAGCATCCCAAAGAAAGGTCAAATTCAGAAGACAAGTCAAAAACTCTCAGTTCTCTTGGGTTTCAAGGCTTGCGTGTGACACCACATCAGACACGCCTTGTTCTCACACCACTTTTCGCCAATGATTTGTCCGAACAATGCCGGATAATGCTGGCTTGCTTTGAGGTCGCTTCCTCCTTGCACACGACGTTTGCCATTCGAGTCCACATACCTCGGCTCGTGTATGTTTAGGGAAAATGCATTATTGTTATCCAAGTCGGTCTACACCGAAACATGTGACACAACCCAGCCGGCTTTCGTTAACATAGACTTTGATTTGGGCGTTCTTTTTGGTACTTGATCCCACCTAAATCTCTGACATGAAACCCATACACCATGAGACTGCTACCTGTTTATTTAAAGGATTCTTTTTTGCCTTTGGGGCCTGCTAAAGCAAGTTGTGGACACTCTCCATATACAATTGTTCTGATATAGCAAAGCTGCTTCCGACTCATGTCGGAGCTCCACTCAATGTTTTGGGGGAGTGGGATGAAGAGGCCATCAAACAAGCATCTGTAGTTCGTGTACAAGACCGTCGGTTTAGGGCCTCGGAGCCAAGGAATGCTGAACTTGAAGTTCGACCTGGACTTGAAGTTCGACATGATTGATTCTATGACCTCCGACTTTCAGGACCGCAAACAACACGCAACATGTTTGTATGGCCTCTCAACCGAGAGAACATGAGAGTGTGAGCACATTAGCAATCTGCTATATAAGATAAGTTACTCTGGCCTCCAAAAGCACCCATCCAAATGAAGGCCTCGTGGCGAGAATGACAGAAAGGACACCCAAAAACGGCAAACCTGCTCATCAATCAACTGGGGTTCGCTTTCGAGTCCATGAGGATGTAAGGCTTTGTTTCGCTAACCTTTGAGCTCATGATCATAGGCAACACACTTCGTTTGCAATTTTCCACTTGGGTTGGCCTGCGAAAAAAGACCCCCACAAGTCCAGGTCAACCTGCCTGAAACGCAGGTTTTGAAGGGTGAAAGCCGGACTTGTGGGGGTCCTTTTTCGCAGGCCAATCTAAGTGGAAAATTAGCACACTTCGTATCCACATTGCGCCTTGTAAATGGTGTGGGTCTTGGCCAATCTCCGGAACAAAGGGTGTTCCTCCATGATGCTGGAAGAAGGTTGCTCCAGCATCCAAGGCAAACATAGCTGGGTGAGGACCTGGATGACGGCGAAGCAGCGGCTTGCCATCAAGTTCCTCAGATGGGCGAAACGAACAGGTATACTCTGGGTATAGGCCTCCATTCTTCCGTTCGTTCTTAATCCATTCCGTTTTGAAAAAAGCTGCAGGTGTCCACTTTTCATTTCTTCCCGACAGAAGCGTTGAAGCTGGATATCCTTCGAAACTCTAAATGCAACTAAGACCTAACAAGGCCAAGGTCTATGCAGTACCCCCTGCTTCCCCAGCCTTGAGTCAAAACAAATGTGACATGTTTCTCTGTACAATCACCCCTGTTCCTCATCCTCCACGGCTTTGCGCATGATGTCCTTCTGGATGGCCCAAGCATCCTCGACACCCTTCGTGATCCAAGACATCCTTACAAATAAGGCGGGCAAGCAAGACTCCTACAAACAAGACAGAACAAGGCTAACGCACAGGTAAAGAACTGTGTAATTCACGTTGAGGGTCGACTTAGCCTTGATCGGCTTACCGCTAGGAGTGGCTTTGGGTTTCAACGCGCGCTGTCTCAACAGCACTTCGATCCTCCCCAAACCTTCAACCGACGTAGTGAAGGAGTGCTTGCCATGGGTGGTAGACTGCGGTTTCAGCTCATCGGGGAGCGATTGGATGATGTCCTTGTACTCATCCTCAAACGAATTAACCACCTGCCAGCTACAAGACAAGTGAGTTAATCCATGGTCCCAACATGTCCCAACACATACCAAGCCAACAGACCGCAAAAGGAATGAAGTTGAAATAAGTCCGTCGACGTCTAAGTAAACGAAGAAAGTAGAGCGCCTCTTCAAGGGAAGCTTCAGGTGTTGGGTGGTCGCGCTTGGCAGACTTGTTACTCGAAGCTGCAGAAGCATTTGATTTCCGCTTCTTGTTCTTCTTGTCCTTCTTCACACCTACGAGGAAACCCCCTTTCAAAAAGACGCTCGTCAAAGCTGCAAAGCAGAAGTTCAACCGGACACAAGCAAGGATGGCTCCCCAACCTGCAGGTTTTGTGCCCACGCAAACTGGTGAAGGCGGCGAATCCTGGATGTCAGAGACAGCCTTGTGGAACCCCTTCGGCGCATCTCCCACATCGTTGTAGATTCTGGCTGCCTGAAGCAGAATTTTAAAAAAACGCCAACGGATATGACCTTCGAGTTTCAGGCTCACATGTACGAATTTCCGTTAAAGCAAGCACAGGTTAAGCATGGAGGCCTTCTCCCAAACTTCACTGCCACAATCGCTTTCACCTCCGTCATCCCCACTAGAGGCCTCAACGATGACAGAGTCCTGCAAAAGAGCAAAGCACGAGTAATTCAGGCCGACGCGACGCTATCTACACTTTACCACAGTGAACAGCTTCAACTTTGACAGCAACATGTGGAGCCTTGGGTTGACGTTCATCCATTTCATCATCGTAGGAATTGGGCTGAGCATCAGGCCCAGCAAGAACGCCAGTCATGAACCCATTAAACATTAACTGGTCAAGCTGGTCAAAACTCGAGTCTGCGCTGCTAGCCCCAGTCTCACCACTGGACTCAGTTGCCCCGTCGCTGGACGGGGAACACTGGTCATGGCCGTCATGGCAAATGTCCATTTGCCACCTTTCAACATGGGACTTCGGGGTGGAAGGCTCCCAGTATTGAAACAGCTTCTTGCGCGACTGAAGCCTGTCATTCGGTGAGGCTTTTGTGTCGCGCCACCGTCGGCGCCCAGCAGACCAAAGCCTCTGGATTTTGTAGGCCTCCGCATCGATATTGTCACTCCATTCAGCCGCAGATCGCCCACGAACTGCCAACCCCTGCAACATGCGCGAAGCGAATACACAATCAACCCTATATACCCTCGATCCCCCAACCTCAATAAATATATACAATCACAAAATTCCCCACCTGGGATTCCCGATCGAGTTTGGACAAGATGATTTGTAGCTCTGTCTTTGAAGGCTTGCGCTTCTGAAACTCTTCCATCGTGAGAAGCATCTCTAGCCACCAAATGTTGTCGTACCTAAATTAGACTCACAAAGATGCTTCCATACCACAGGTTGTTGCACAAATCCTGCCAAAAGCTCCACCAACTTGAGACTCCAATAAATTGACAAACAAGGTGCAAAACATCCTTCTTGATGCCCTGCTTTCGCGTGAAGTCGCCAGGCAAAAGGTCTTGCTTAGGCTGCTCGTAGATTGGAACCAATCTTTTTTCTTTCAAATCACTGGGCAGCCTTTCTGCCATATACCGACCCAATGCATTCAAACCGTCGATGTAATGTAGCTCACCATCGCTAGGGGTAATGGCCGAGAAACTTTCGGCTTTCATGGTCAGAGTCATTGGGCTAACTGTTAACTGGGATTGGTTGAGACCCTTGAACCACGGAATCTGAGAAAACACATTGCTTTTCATCTGAGAAAAACAATGTGTGAAGTTTGGCGTGCACAGGTTCACTAGTGTTGGTGCAAAGAGATTGGTCCGCATCCCCTTTTGCTGCCAAGCATCCCACATTTGACTGCAGGAACCAAGCAATCGCCCAATGGGCATACCACTGACCGTCGCGAAGTACCACTTGGCAGGACGGTGCGCGGGCAAGTTTGGTATCCACAGCATGCGGTTTGCACAGCTGATTTTGAATTTTACTGGTCCCACTGGTTGTTGTTTTCATTGATTTGAGTCTTTGACACGGCAATGCCCATTAAAGTACAGGTGACCAAAACCAAGTTCGTGATCAGGCAAGCGGCCGGTTGACCCACACAAATGTAGAGCAGACAGGTGCCATGAAGCAAAGCCCGCCCTGAGATGAGACACTGGGACAATCCCCCCATCTTGACAACCAATCCTTTAGAACGTTTTAGCGAACGCATTAAAACTCAGAAGCGCACGTACTTTGCCAAGCGTAGTGCCAAAGCCATTGCTAAGCTGAAGCCTAGCCCAGAGCACATGTCTTCTAGTGGCGAGTCCGTCACTTCGAAGGATGCAGAATTCAGGCCACACCTCCTGGGTCACACGCACCGTCTCCGAAGCATTGGGACTGTGAGAGCTATGGGCTCTTGATGCACTGGTCTATTTTTTGGGGCTTGTAACTGATGTGACCCTGGGAACATGGTCAAGCTTGTGCCATCAAAATTGCGAGAATAACAGTGTGATATCGGTCGCTTGCGTGCAGGACTTCAATTTATCTCCTGAATCCTGCGCAGATGGATTTGACGCCAGCGAAGAGTTCAAGGCAATGAAGCCCCTCGGATCAGTCAGCAGCTGGGGTCAAGTCCGCGAGTTGGTTTGCAACTGTCGTGCGATTGGATGAGTTGGCCAACTCCTAGACTCCTAGGCAATTTTTTGCACTTGTCCAACTCTAAACAGCGGTTTTTGGTTTATCCTCTACGCAGTATATAAGCAGTGTGCTTTTATTTCTCTGACACCCATCTAAGCAGTAGACTGTCTCTGGGCGGCTCATCGAATTGGCCACGCACTCCACCAAGCAAAGAAGCGAAAGTGGAAGCCCACTCATCGTCAGCACGTGCAGCCTGGGCCGAGAAGGTCTTGGGAAAGAGCTGTTTTCTACAACTGTCATTCTGCATAAAGATTTTTGATTGCGCATTAAAAGGTTCAATCTTCACAAGACCTGGTTGGAACATGAACTCCTCACAGATAGCTCGAAATAAGAACCAATGAGTTCTTGTTGGCTTCAGACTGAAGTTTCACTTCAGAGCCTCTCGATTCAGCCAAAAAACAATTGAGCCAGGACTGGTGGCAAGGTCCAGCGCTTCAACCGAAAGGTCAAATGATGACCCAGTTTCTGCCCAGGAATCGGTCGTTTTGGTCGCCTTAAGCATTTGGATGTTGAATCCTTCTTCCGGTTCTTTAGGCGGTTGATTCTAATCACCGCGCACGCCATTCCAACTCCACAAGAAGCGCCGGGGAAACACTACTCAAGGGCCAAAAGTTCTGCAAACGAACGGCGGGTTTGAACTGCTAGAAAACCTGCGCATGAGCTTTCACATGAGTGTACACTCGCAACGCTACACACCCCTTAAGTGTTACTATCGAAAAATGTACTGTAATTCCGTGACATGACCTCGGACGATAAAACCGCCAAACAAAACTAGAGAACTCCAAACGATGACCATGCAGGCTCGAGGGTGTGGCGCACCTGGGTCTGGCGCTGGCCACAAGTCGTCGCCAGCTCATACAAAGTTTAAGCCTGGTCAGCGGCGCAGACGCGCTCACATTCATTCACGGTGTGGTAGCGGAGAGACGGAGAGACGCAAAAGAAGAACAATCATGTCCAGGATACATGTCGTCTTAGTATGACCCTGAAAAAAAGGACCGGCCTTTAATCGCAGTCTGCACCTCTCGCGACCTCACCTGCGTCTGCGCCCCAGCTTGGCAACCCTGCGTGGTTGCGCAAGGCCTAACAGTCTGAGTCTGGACGTTCTTCGACTTGGCTCTGGCACAGTCTGCGTGGCCTTGGACTTTCTCTCGGGAGCAGGCTTGTCAACGCGTTTGTCCCGCCACCGTTTCCAACCAGAAGGGCCGGATCTGCTGTTAGGCTTGCTTTCGCCTTTTGGTTTGGCCTTGGCTGTCTTAGGCCTAGGTTTTGCTGCCGTAGGCCTAGGCTTTGCCGCCTTGGCCTTGACCATTCACCGCTGCTAACTAAAAGTGCACTGACTGTGTGACTGTCTAGTTTGTCTTGCGGTGCATGTGGAGCTACCTAGTGAGTTGTCTAGTGAGTTGTAAAGTGAGTTGTCTGCGAGACTTGCAACTTTGTGCCTCGAGCAGCTGGTCCATGGAAAACATCCGGCGCACAAATGCCAACAAAAAAATGTCTCCGGGCGGGAAAAAAAGTTTCAAAGGTCAAGACTTCGAGTGATTCCACCAAGCCGGAGTCAAGAGAAGTGGAAAAAAGGCCCTCCAGCACAGCCAAACATGAAAACAAACATTCAAGGCCAAACAGGGCCGTATATCTTCCAACGTTGCTTTTTGCTGACATCTCTCAATTGCGCGCTGGACTTAGAACAAACCTTCTAGGCAAAACAAAGCCATACCCTCCAACGCTGCTTTTGCTGATCACACCTCTAAATGCGCGCTGAGCAAATCTTCCTGATCACACAAAACCATGCACAAACCCCTCAAGAAGTGCAAAAATCACATCAAGCATTTAACCCAACCCATGGTTGGAGAAAGTGGTTTGGCTGGATACACCGTTGTGCACAACAGCTCATCTTATCCAACATATATAGTCAGGATGAGCCGATGATCGTAAAGGTTTGACCAGAGCACCGCTGGGCAGTCTAGGTTTGGGTTTGGGTTCGGGTGGGTCTATTAACATGTGAACGCACTTTCGACACTTACGCTACGCTTGGTCTCTTCTGTGTCTCTGATCTGACGTTGTCCAGGGGTTTGGGTTTGGGTTCGGGTGGGGTCTATTAACGTTATTTCTTGTGAAGCACTTTCGACACTTACGCTACGCTTGGTACCGATTTTGGAGGCCAAGAACAGTGGAGCCTTTTGGATCCCTTTGCGGATGCAAGCGGAAGAAACCGCTTCAAAACAAGATTCCGAAGGCTTGACAGAAGATTTCTTGTCAAATACATATGAGGGACGGTCAAAACTCCTTATTCTTCTTCAACAAAAAATGGACGTCATCGGTTTTGAGTTGGACCTTATCGTTTTACAGTGTTTTGAGTTCGTCGCATACTTATGATCATATACAGCGCTGGGGTTATCGGTTTTGAGGTGGACCTTATCGTTTTGCAGGCTTTTGTGCTCAAACCTACCCCTCTTTACTAAAGTGGTCTTCGCATGTTTTGACCGAGGCTCATATAATATATGTAAACCTCTGGCAAAACCAACCCGCCCCCTCGCTTCTTGACACCCTTCGTATCCCTCCGAAACATCTGTGTCCGAGACCTCTGTGTCCAAGACCTCTGTGTCCAAGACCTCCATTTCCAACACCTCTATGTCCGAGACCTCTGTCTTTTAAACCTCTGTGTTTGAGACCTCTGAGTCCGAGACCTCTATGTCTGAAGCTACGAACCTCGTGGACCTACCCCTTCGGAATCAATGCCCACGAGATCTATCCCTTCAGGAACCTTCCAGCAGGAGATGCGGCCAGGAACCAACTCATAATAGAGGGAGAGCGGCATGCTGCCGCCGAACGCATTCACCTTGGGCTACCCCATCCTCCTCCTGGTGGACCAGCTCTAAATGTCCGAGAACCTATGTCCGAGACCTCCTATAGATACATGCGCGTCCGAGACCTCTGTGTCCTGTATGTCCAAGACCTGTGTCCGAGACCCCTGTGTCGGAGACCTCTATGTCCGAGACATGAATGTCCGAGACCTGTGTGGTCGAGAACTCTATGTCCGAGACCTATGTCCAACACCTCATATAGACACATGCATCTCCGAGAGCTCTATGTCCGAGAGCTCTGTGTGAGAGACCTCTAAGTCCGGGACATCTGTGTCCAAGACCTCTATGCCCGAGACCTATGTCCAAGACTCTATTTTTTTCTTTCCGGTGGCGCAGAAAAGGTATGCGCCGGTGGAGTGGCACTTCTCTCGTCTAAATGTTATCCTCGGTGGCTCACAAACGGTATGCACCGTTGGAATGCACTGTTTGAATGGTCTCAGCCTCTGTCCACGAACCGTGTGTCCGAGACCTCTGTCCAAGACCTGTGTGTCCGAGACCTCTGTCCGAGACCTCTGTTTCAAAAACCTCTGTTTCAAAAACCTCTGTGTCCGAGACCTCTGTGTCCGAAACCTCTGTGTCCGAGACCTGTGTGTCTGAGACCTCTCTGTCCGAGACCTG